CCCCAAAACCCCAAAACCCCAAAACCCCAAAACCCCAAAACTTAATAAATGAAATAAATTGGATTAAAAAATTATTAAATTATCAAAAATATACTTTATCAATAATATCAGAATCTGTATTGGAATCCAACCAACCAGAAATTAATATAAGTGAAAAGAATTGAAATTCCGAATAGAGTGCCGAAAATCCATTTATCTAACTCTTTCTTTAATTTCTCATCAATTTTTTCTCCTTTATTGCAGGCATCAACATATGGATCCATAACCTTAAACCAAACAAATGGCACAAAGCTGAGTAGGAAAGATGCAGTATATCCGAATGGTAGATTAGGACTTTCTGGTAAAGACTCAAGGATTTAGTAAGGTTTGTAAGAATTAGCATGGTGATCTGAGTGTCTTTACAGCTTAAAAAGTAAATAATTAGAGGCTACTTGCGGTGCATTCCATGAGTGAGTTATCTTTACTGATTCATAATTTCCATTTACATCTTTCTTTCTCTGTAGTCCGTAATGCTCGATATAGTTTATTGTTTCAAAGTAGATAATATTTAGGATTGAGGTAGAAATTTAAAAAATGGCAGCTAATTTTCCAAATGCAAAGTAAATAACTCCGAGCCAAAGAATATGCCCAATATTCCAGAGGATTAGTTTGTTCTCTAGAGAATATGGAGATTTGCCAACAAGAGCGAGTCTAGTTTTCTCGAGTTCCCATGTCTCAGCATATCCCTCTGGTAAAGTTCTATATAAAAAGTCCCAGATGGATTCTCCCTTGCGAGATGTTGAAGGATCCTCTGGAGTTGCAACTTTTTTATGATGGGATTTTATGTGCTAAATGATGAAATGAGAGTAAAACATTTTTGAATATACAAGATTGCCACAAATCTTGTGAATAAGCTCTTTTCTATGAGCAAGTTCGTGGCCAATTGATAGATTTAAAGCACCACAATTAGCAATGCAAAAAGAATATAAAAAGAAATAAGCTGGTCCTTGAGGCATCATTCCTTTTGATATCAAAGTCATAGCATAAAAGTATGTGTAGAAATCAATGATCCAAGCAGCGTACAAGGGAATCAAGAATCGCTTATCTTTTTCATAGGTTCTTATTTAATTTTCTGGGAGGTTGTAGTTATCGTGTGGAAGCACATAATCAAGAATTGGAATTATGACATAGGCAACCCAGATTGGGAAAAATACATTTTGGTAATAGTACTCAACAATGAGAGAGATGAAAATAAGAGCAAAAGGAAAGTAGAATAGGGTGAATGCATGCCATGGAACTCCTTGATTTTGCATTTCATTTTAGTTTTGACTGATTATCTTTTTTGAGTTCTATTGAATAGTAGCTGACTCAATTGAAGTGATGCCTTTTGAATTGATTTCTTATTTAGTGAGAGCTATATCCATTTGAGAAATTATAATTTATTTCAAAGATTCAAATTAACTAATTGTCTATAATATCCATTTCAGGGGTTTTGGGGTTTTGGGGTTTTGGGG